ATATATATATATATATATATCAACTGCTTACCAGGACAATGCCACACAAAGCCAAAATTAGAACAACCATTCCTCAATCCTCATCTAAATTTTATCTTCATAAAAGATATAAAAAGTTATGTATTAAAAAATGCGATGATTAGAACTACTTTGGAGTAGTGTTTATTCAGTGAATACATATGATATATCACATTATCTTATTTTATTTTCTTCGATTTGACCATTTTTAATGAAATTAAAATATACAGTGTTCACACTTGGTTTTTTAAGATTTATTTTGTACTATTTTGAAAATACACCAAACATAAGTCAGGACGTAATATGTTCCACTCTATTATTTTTGTGTTTATACCAAACACTGCATGAGACATCTACGGGATTGCATTCAATCATGCATAATAATATATACGAAGGTGGCATCATTCGCACTCTTAATTTTGCAGACTCTTTCTTAAGTAGGTTCAATTGCACCAAAAGAAAAAAAATACTATGATCGGGGCCTACAAAATTTGTTATTGAAGTGGATATGTTCTCCAATTATTGAACTCATGAAAACGTTTCATATCTATTATTGATAGCGTGCATGTTTCTCGTCTAAATAAAAAATAAATCCTGTTTTTAATTGAATTTGGAAACGATATAGTTGTTCAAGTATTTTTTTTATATTATTTTTAATTAAAATTATCGATATAAAACTCTATTTTTAGTTGCGAATCATCCCAAATATAATTCAAGATAAACTCATCGACATGAATATATCAAGAATGATTAATCAAGACAACTTTACTAATCTCTTTTGTCTTATATGCTTGAGACTGATAGATAAGTGTATTATTTTGGATATAATCTGATATGGACTCACCAAGAAGAATATATTGAGGTAATATAAGTAAATATCAGAGATAAGTTATCTAATCAATCTATATAAATCAATTTTAAACCAACTTACATAATAATACATAACATGAAGGATTTGGTATTCACCAAGACATACTATCCTAGTTTATTTTTTATTGGCTTTAGCTAAGTATCACTCGAAAAGTTGAGTGATCTGAACTCCTCAAAGAGGTCGATATAAATTCGACTTGCTTAAAGAGGTTGGTATAAATCGGGCCTCATATGCATATTTGACATAAAATCTTATTATTATTATCAGCTAAGATCACGTACTCAAATAATAGACTTTTATTCTATCAAATATCGAAATTCGTGGAGTCTATAAATTTATAACAATCAAGTATAAAAACTTAAAACCTAGAGTAAAGACAAACAAATTACACTCTTAAATGTTCTAGTTTTGGTTGATTAGCAGCTAGATCAACCAACCGTAAATGTTCTTCAGACAGGAACAAGTTAGAAAAAAAAACTAAAAAAATAATTGCATCCAAATTTTGTAGGTTTTTTTTTTGTATATTGATGAATAAAAACAAACAAATAAAACTACATAAAATTTAAATTAATTTCATGCAAAATAAAATTTGGAGGACTTATTTATTTAATAAATACCAAATTAAATTTGACCCCATCCGACTAATCAATGAGTAATAACATTGTTTTCTCTAAGAATACTTTTGCAATACACATTTAATGACGAGACAATAACTCTTTAATATTAGTAATAATATCTACATGCTTATGTCCCTAATAATCATATTACAGATACTCACGATTGGTAAAATAATAATTATACAATTTGACTCACAAAGAAAAAAATAAATCCTCCTTCTCATTATAAACAACTTTATCTTCAAAGTAAGAAGTTCTGCACAGAAGGAATCTCTTCCTTTAAATGAGTTTATAAATTTTCCATTTCAACTACCGGCAATATCCTTCACCACTCTATCAATCCTATCATTCAAGAATTCTCTAGCAAACCTCCATTAACTTGAACATATTCTTTGGTTTTGAGAAGCTGATCAAGCAAATTAATCAACTTCTGATGGCTAAGTACTGCTTTTAACTTTTGCTCGTTTTCTTCTTGTCTTGACGGGAAAAATAGAAAATATAATTGAGTGAATCGTTATTTTAATCTTTGAAATTGCAAGTTCCTAAAGTTGAAACGAACAAAACTTAAATAATGCACTAACATGTTCATGTACGTGTAATTCAGACATCAAAAACCTTTTTTACTGTATAAGTTGAATGTTAAAAGAATTGAATCCTTGTGAAAATCAATTATTTCCATCAATAAAAAGCCCTATTCACCTTCTTTCTTTTTCAATTTTCATTGGAGTGAATACCTTTATTAATCAGTTTATTTTGCATCATTTTCCTTTTGACGCCACCATAACAATTTCCCAATATTTGTGAATTTCTTATTGGTTGCTTTTCATCATCGCGTTGACACCATTCCACACTTGTTTCCTCATCTGCGTAGTGTAGCAATTAGCCTCTGAAAATGTTATTTTATCTTTTTGTCAATTATGAAATTTTCCATCATGAAATTAAAGGCACCGTGAAGTCTCCAGATTACTCTTCTGTTTTTCATAGCTTTAATCATTTATTAATAACTTTATAATTACGTAATTGTAAAACTGTACTCTTAATAGATGATAGATAATTAAGTAATTTACAATTAAATAATGAAGATTTAAGTAATTTTAATCATAAAATTCTTTCGGTAATAGTAATTGCTATAGATAGTTAATTAATAGTATTTTATAAAATAATGTGCAAATTTGGATAAGAATATAATATTTTAATATAGTTTAATATC